CGACAGGCTTGGCGCATACCTGGAGGTTATTCCGGGGGTCAACGCCCCCGCGGCCCGGTCCATGACCAGGCCTCCCGATGGACCAGGGCCTGATCAACTAGGCTGTTACTGCTGGCCACACGCAGTCCAACGTACGAGCCATAGCCCGGCTGATCCGGCACTGACTTTAGGTATCTGTCCAGCTCTCTCTCGAAGTCAGCCAGGGGTTTATTGGCAATTCCCCTAATGCTTGATGAGAGGCTGTTGAACAGTCTTGGGCCCCGGACACTTATGGTGTTTTCCCTTAGTGTACCAATGGCGCCCCTACTTTTTATTGGGGGTATTTTGCATCCCCTGCACAGTCTTTTACTTTCGTAGGGAGTGATTTCTGTGTGCAGATTTGGAACCATTCCTTCCAAGATTTTCCAAGTGTAGATTATGATATATCTCTCCCTCCTGCGTTCCAACGAGTACAAGTCAAGTGCTTCCAAGCGTTCCCAGTAGTTAAGGTGCTTGACAGAACTTATACGTGCAGTAAAGGATCTCTGTACACTCTAGATCTGCGATTTCACCATCCTATCATTTTCTTTGCACGTGCGATCGTGGCACTGTTGTGATCCTTGAAAGTGAGATCCTCAGACATTACTACTCCCAGGTCCCTTACATTATTTTTCCGCTCTATTGTATGCCAGAGTCTGTAGTATACTCTGTTCTAGTTATTATCTTCTCCAGTTTTCCATAATGGAGTAGTTGAAATTTGTCCTCAATGAACATCATATTGTTTACCGTTGCCCACTGGAAAACTTTGTTTATATCTTCTTGGAGGTTAACCGCGTCCTCAGCAGATGACAGCCTCATGCAGATCCTAGTATCATCCGCAAAGGATGATACGGTGCTGTGATGTATATCTCTGTCTATGTCTGATATGAGGATGAGGAATAAGATGGGGGCGAGTACTGTGCCGTGTGGAACAGAGCTCTTCACTATGGCAGCCTCCGATTTAACTCTGTTGACCACTACTCTTTGTGTACGATTGGTTAGGGAGTTGAAGATCCATCTCCCCACTTTTCCAGTTATTCCTTTAGCACGTATTTTATGGGCTATTACGCCATGATCGCATTTGTCAAATGCTTTTGCAAAGTCTGTGTATATTACATCTGCATTCTGATTTTCTTCCAGTGCATCCAAGGCCATATCATAGTGATCCAGTAGTTGTGAGAGGCAGGAGCGACCTGCCCTGAACCCATGTTGCCTTGGATTGTGCAGATTTTGGGTATCCAGGTGATTTGCAATCCTGCTTCTTAGCACTCTTTCAAAGATTTTTATGATGTGGGACGTCAGAGCTATTGGTCTATAGTTCTTAGCTAATGCTTTACTGCCACCTTTATGGAGTTCGGGCTATATCCGTCGTTTTAAGTGACTGGAATTTCACCCATGTCCAAGCTCCTCCTCCATAGTGGAAGCTCCAGTGCCATATTAAAACCAAGGCAGTGTCAAATATAACGAGATCTCCCTGCACCTTTCGAACTCAGAACCACTATTTCATGAACTCCTACTTCATGCACATCCACTACCGCAGTACTTGGGGACCAACATTGACTGCGAGTTATGAATGTACACACTACGCCGAGAGAGGTATTGCGAGCACTGCTTTTAACCGCCTTTACAAATTGAAAGGTGCATAACACACCTCCATAAAATTCCACCTCTGTACTGCCCGTATTAGGTCTCTCATCAGTCATCACAAACTTGCTCCCTCGCTGACTGTCAAGACCTGAAACTAGCGAATCCCGAGTCGGGCGTTGTTTTGGGTACTGGACGTGAATTGTTAGAACTGCCAAAAGTCACTCACCGTCAGGACGAGCACACCAGCTCTAGGACAGGGGAGCTTACTACGACGTTTCGTAGTAAGCTCCCCTCTCCTATGTGCGGGTTGTGTGTGTATTACACCAGCTCTAAACACCTTGTGAAAAACACTTAGCGGTAGACATACTGCTCGACAGACTCGAGACGTATCATGAGGCCTGGTCTCAGACCGGGCCGCGGGGGCGTTGACCCCCGAAACCCTCTCCAGGTATAGGTATACTCCTGCCTTACCTACTTCGACGACACTATTAGGCGACCTCACAACCCTCTAAATATCTTCGAAGGTCTTTAGTCCTGCTTCTATCCCTCAGTCTTCCTGCCCTTTGCTGGGTGGACCTTTCAAGACATCCTGTTTTCATTTGCCAATTCCATCTTGGCTTTATTATACACCATTTCCCCATCCTTGCCACACTGATGTCATAACCATAGACGTACGTACGTGTGGTGGGGGGGAGGGGGTTGTGGCTCTATGGGGGTAGGTGTGACGTGACGAAGAGCGTTTTATCAACAGCTGTAGCCCACTGGTGAGAGTCCTGCCTCTCATCATCAACGTCCGGGGATCGAATCCCCGGACGGAAAAGAAAAAAAAGTGAGGAAGAGCCTTGCTTACTGTCGTCTTGGTGACCACTACGTCCATCCGACGCTGCCCTCCCGAGCCGTACCAGTCATGAACTGCTGAGAGAAGCACATAGCTGATGCTGCATAACGACATCTTTGCTGCTGGATCTAGCCCTGGCTCTCTCTCTTTTCTATATAGCGCTTCCTCTCCCTCCACTGTTCTATCCACACTTCTCACTCGCCTTTCGTGGGTCCTTGCCTGAGGGTTAGTTTAGTCTAGGGAATAAAATAACATTCTTGATGCAGATATGACGTGCAGCTAACCCACAAAACATCGATTGTCTTTAAAACTAACAAGTTGAGTGTGTGCTTTTTTATTATGGAACGAAATCCTAAAACTGCCAAGGGCTTCCGGTGAGCAGTGGCCCGGTCTCGGACCATGGCTCCCAAGTTGGAAAATAAATATTACTCTGACTAAGAATTATTTAAAAAATGCAGGAAACTAAATATAAGAGTATGCTGATTGTAAGTAAACTTTTTGAAAAATTAACATGTCGTTTTGCAAACTAAGTTGCTAAAGAACTAATTACTGTACATTTAATATATCTACATTGTGTATGTGTGATTTCTTGGATTGCACTGCAAAACTTTTTTTTTTTTTTGTTGAAGGTAATCCGGATGTTTCAAGAACTGCATCTTTAATGCGTAGATTCTTTAAAATTGGATGTCTCGTGGCGCAGTTGGCACAACATTCAGCTCGCATACTGAGTGTTTGTGGTTCGATCTCCGGCTCGGGTGGAAACGTTGAGCATGTTTCCTTACACCTTCCCCTGGTCACCTAGCAGTAAGTAGGTACCTGGGTGTTAATCGATCATTGTGGGTCGTATACCTTAGATAGGGTTGGGGCGTTGAAACCTGCAAATTTGATGAGGAAGCGTGTTCTCCACATACCCGTCTCCTGTATAATGTATATATATATATATATATATATATATATATATATATATAATATATATATATATATATTATATATATATATATATATATATATATATATATATATATATATATATATATATATATATATTATATATTATATATATATATATATTATATATATATATATATATATATATATATATATATATATATTATATATATATATATATATATATTATATATATATATATATTATATATATATATATATATATATATATATATATATATATATATATATATATATATATATATATATTATTTGAGTTTGTGGAGTCATTTTAGAGATAATTTTTATAAGATTCAGGATGTGAGGATTTTGGCAAGTCATCTTTGTGACTGTTGGTGTGTAGGAGAAAGTGGTGGTGGGGGGGGGGGGTGAGCGAAGTGTCCTCACAACGGAAGTGACATACCCAGCCAACTGCTGTCATTACCTCCTGGGAATTACTGTACTTGTTTTCGTCAACCCTATTATAGCCCGGGCATTATCCTGGTTGGTAATTTGAGGTTGTTTTGTATAAGATGACGGTTGTGTGAGGCTTGTTTACCTTGAAGGCGTGTAATATTATGGTAACCCAGGTGTGAATAGCCGCGGGAAATTGGTGCTAAGGGAGCCTTATCCTTCACACTAGGCTTACACGCACACACGTGTGCTCTCCTGCACCTCCCCCCTCCCCCCAGACCTCTTTGTATATGTCGTTATTTTGAGGTAAGCAATCATTTGCTTGATATGTGGCAATTGTCAACCGTGATACTTAATAAGTGGAAGATTGGTCATTATCATCTAGTTACAGACCAATCAGTCGGACCTCAATCCTCAGGTGCTATATAATCTTTGTGGGTTTGTTTCCCTCTAAATATAATAAAAAAATTGTACCCGTATCATACAAAGCGAAATAAAATATGCATCAAACCATGTCTTGGAGAACATGCCAGTTTAGGTTCTTCCAGTATAATTATTAATAGTGTTTATATGTCCCTTTTGTTCTGGTTTGGGTAGGTTGGGTTTTGTTTACTTGTTAAGGAATAGTGTTACTGTGTATTCCTAAATTTCTGCCCGTATTCCAGTCAGTTAATCAGTTATGGGGAAATAACTAGCGGCAGTAACTGTAAATGTAAATTACAGTACTTCGTGTTTAACAATGACTTCACGAAAGTTGTTTACGCTGAACTAATGAACTTTAATTCTTAGTTAAAACGGTAGACAGTTTCGTGAGGTTACCGTGCTATAATACATCTTTGAGTTTAGCAAAGCATTTTAATTTTGAAAAAAGAGGCAGGTGATGTTTAAGATGATCTGAAACTGATTATCACATGATAAACCGTGGATTAGTCTAAATGAGGTAAAATTGTAATAGGATTAATGTTGAACCTAACGAGTGTGTTAACCCAGCCTTAGTGCTTAATATTAGACCTGACTTTTGTGTTAAGCCAACCTTAGTGTTGGATCTAAATAGTGTGTTAATCCAGCCTAAGTGCTTAGTGTTGAATCTGACTAGTGTGCTAATCTAGCCTTAGTGAGTGTTTCATATGGGACCTGACGTACGTGCTAATCCAGCCTTGTCTTGCAGGCTACAGCTTGATGGGCCATAGCATTGTGGTGGAGCCATCCGTCGCTGGTGGGGGAGCCAAGAGAGCAGTGTAAGTACTCTTGTGATTTTTGCTAGGTGTCCCTGATGTTGCTTGGTGTCCATGATGTTGCTTGGTGTCCATGGTGTTGCTTGACGTTCCTGATGTTGTTTGGTGTCCATGGTGTTGTTTGGTGTCCATGGTGTTGCTTGGTGTCCATGATGTTGCTTGGCATTCCTGATGTTGCTTGGTGTCCATGGTGTTGCTTGACGTTCCTGATGTTGCTTGACGTTCCTGATGTTGCTTGGTGTCCATGGTGTTGCTTGGTTTCCATGGTGTTGCTTGGTGTCCATGGTGTTGCTTGGTGTCCATGATGTTGCTTGGCATTCCTGATGTTGCTTGGTGTCCATGGTGTTGCTTGGTGTCCATGGTGTTGCTTGGCGTTCCTGATGTTGCTTGGTGTCCATGGTGTTGCTTGGTGTCCATGATGTTGCTTGGTGTCCATGGTGTTGCTTGGTGTCCATGGTGTTGCTTGGTGTCCATGGTGTTGCTTGGTGTCCATGGTGTTGCTTGGTGTCCATGATGTTGCTTGGCATTCCTGATGTTGCTTGGTGTCCATGGTGTTGCTTGGCGTTCCTGATGTTGCTTGGTGTCCATGGTGTTGCTTGGTGTCCATGATGTTGCTTGGTGTCCATGGTGTTGCTTGGTGTCCATGGTGTTGCTTGGTGTCCATGGTGTTGCTTGGTGTCCATGGTGTTGCTTGGTGTCCATGGTGTTGCTTGGTGTCCATGGTGTTGGTTGGTGTCCATGGTGTTGCTTGGTGTCCCTGATGTTGCTTGGTGTCCATGATGTTGCTTGGTGTCTATGATGTTGCTTGATGTCCATGGTGTTGCTTGGTGTCCATGGTGTTGTTGGGTGTCCCTGATGTTGCTTGGTGTCCATGATGTTGTTTGGTGTCCATGATGTTGTTTGGTGTCCATGGTGTTGCTTGGTGTTCCTGATGTTGCCTGGTGTTCCTGACGTTGATTGGTGCACCTAGTGTTCCTAGTGTTGCCTGTTGTTGCATGGTGTTACTGGTGCTCTTGACGTTGCCTGGTGTCTCCCCCTGATGTTCCCTGGTACGCCGGGTGTTCCTGGTACTGCCTGATGCCCTTGGTGTTGCCTGCTGTTGGTTCGCCAAAGTGTTCTAACTCAGTCTACCCTCGTGCAACCCATGGTCACCTGCCAGGCGTAACATGGGACCCTCGAGCAACCCATGGTCACCTGCCAGGCGTAACATGGGACCCTCGAGCAACCCATGGTCACCTGCCAGGCGAAACATGGGGCACTCCTTCATTAGAGTTACAGTAATATTAGTTAAATATATTTAAATGACATACTGTATTGTTGATTGTGTCGTGAGTTTCTGGAAAGACAACCAGGAGTAAGTGACGGTGTCACTGTTTCCTTATTTGTCATCATCCTTGGAAGGTGTAGCAAATGTGTTCAAGATATAAATTACGGTGTAAAATAAAAATGTTTCTAAACAACTAGGATTTGTGGGAGTGTTACCCTCGAAGATGGGTGGTACAAGGCAGCTTCATTAATTGTCAACTTGTTCTCGAACAGCACGTCAGTTATCACTTGTATTGTTAATGCCTTGATTACTGCTCGATGTTAATCTCTACAAAAGTTAAATTTCTTATTCTAGGTTAGGTTATTCAGGGGCGTCCAAGTGTCTTCAGTTGTGATTCACATGACCCGAAATCAGTACTTGTGATTTTTTTTATGGAAAACCGTAAAGTATAACCTTTTATTTGTTAAATCCTTTTAGCTCCAAGAATAAAAGAAAGCTTATTCAATTTACCTATATGAAATGAAAAGTAGTGCACATTCTTTAGTTATTTAGGTAAAAAATATATATAAATCTAAGTTGAGCTAGCGAGACAGTAGTAGTAGTGTGAGTTGTGTTCTACCCACATTTCTCATGCTGAACGTTTAGGTTAACGTAAAATGAACGTGTTCATGTGTGGGTACTTGATAAAAATTATATAAATACCATGCGACTTGCATGTGACATAACGCGATGTATATCCTTTTGTTATGCAGCCCATTCTCACAAGAGGGATACTTGTCCAGAATGCACTGTGCATTTTTCTTGGCTGCTGCCTTACCAGACGTATCATGGCCATTTTGCTTGTTTGGGTTTAAATGTACGCTTTATATTTTTACCAAGTATTTGATAAAGCTTCGTATAGGTTAACCAGTTTAATATTAATGAAGGTCTCATTTTCTGTGTTTTTAACCACTGGTCAGCTACGCAATACTTTACTAAGTTAAACCTATGAAAAGAATAAATCACCAGTAAAGAAATAAATAAACGTTTACTTGGAGATAATTCCTTGGGTCAACGCCCCCGTGGCCCAGTCCATGACCAGGCAACACTTTCGCAAGACGATGGCTGAGCATAACCAGGGAGGGGGTCCTTGACGCAGTGGGGGCTCTTGAACAGATTGCCTACCATTCCAGCCAAGTACTGTATGACCCCTATGGGTTTAGCACTTTCCCCCTGAATATAATAACCAGGAAACGCTCAAATCAGTACGTGTTTGCGTCGTAGTTCGATAAATGTAATTATGTTCAGTTTACTACATTAATTTTCGTATGAGGCTGCCAGCATTATTTTCTCAACGCTTCCTTCAACAGTACAACTACTAATTAGTTTTAAATAAGTTTAGGATGCACGATCCTCTTAAGGACCTATAGTATTTAACTGCCAAAAGTAGAATTAAAAAGGCGAAGACACGTTTGGCAACAGGGTGACTTGAGGTAACGTTTAAATCTGCACGAATATCACTGGTGCAAGAATGGGTTGTATTCCAACTGTATTATTTAGTCATAGTGAGAGTCTACACTTGACAGTGTAGAGGATTAAAGAACCCTCGAAAGTTGTTGTAGTTGTATCACACCTCTTTAGGGAAAATGTTCTTTGATGCCCAAGAGGGACTCTTGAACCAAGGAATTGGCTCTGTCTTCTCATTCCTTGGATCAGATTTGATTGCCTCTCCTTCCAGGCGCTGTGACTCCTGCTTTATAGCACCAGACAAGCCTTGCCAGGGGATCGGCTGTGGAAATAGGAAAATTCTCGAAACCCATCAAAGGTATATTAGAGATAATTCCTACCTATAATAATAATAATAATAATAATAATAATAATAATAATAATAAATAATAATCGTATATCGCAGACAAATCACTTGCCCTTGATGTAGACATCATCTATCTAGGAAGGTACTATCTTGTCATACGGGTGTGAAACGCAAGCCTCACGAACACTGTAATTTTGCATTCCAGAATAGTAGAGCGGGTGGCGCGTATCTGATCAGTCAGGCTGTGGTGCCTACGATGAGTTGCGTGACTGACGAAACTTATCAGCCATAAGACCTAGCCTGAGACCGGGCCCTGGGGATGATGATGCCCCCGGAAAAAAAAAACACTAAGGGGAGTACTGGTCATCAACCTGTCTCACCTGAACACAAGTACAGTAATGTAACTCAGCACTGCCTGAAGGAAACTGAACTAACTAATGAACCTTTATGGAAGTACATACTTGAATCTTCATCGTCCTACACGAGTCTCATAGCTCAGACTGACAAGTTTATTAATATATGTAAAACATCAGTCGTGGGATATAGAATATTACCCTAAAACATAGCAGGCTTTGTTCCTACGATGTAACTCATGTTTTCAAATAACCCACACTTGGGAGAGCAGACATTAGACGACGTTTCGGTCCCTCCTTAATCGTTATAAAGTATTATTATGATCTAGGACGATCTGAAACGTCGTGTGAAGTCTAGTCTCCTTTATGGGTCATTTTGGAAAGTGTTCCAGCTACAGTATTGCGACCTTAATTTATGTATTATTTTTATATACGTAGTGATAGCTCACACGTGATGTTACTAGTGTACTTTATAGATATATTAGCCATCGGTGTTCACCTCATTGCATAAGAGTACGTAGTTGGTAGTATCCTTCACCACACGCTGATGTCTACAACGGGCATCCCACAAGGGTAAGCGTATAGAGATATATAGCACACTCGGGGATGTGCACAGCATATAGCTTAAGTTGTAGTGGACCCACTGAGCATCGATTTAAAACCCAAACTCACCCCTCCAACATAAAGAACCTTCCTTGAGGGGAACAGGTACTGCAGTGGCGCGCGCTTGCGCACAGACAGCACGCGCGCGTGTGTGGACACACCCAACACACGTGCACCCAAATTGGCAATGCTTGTACACCGTGTCGAGTAATTTTATTCGATGTTACGGTGGTTGAGCTAAGTGCGGCAAGGTATGTATTAGCGCGCCACCTACTGTCATTACCCACTGCCACGTGCTTTAATAAATATTTGCAGAGTGGGAAGGTAATATAGCCGCTTAATTAGATAAGCATGGCGAGGCTTCAGGTAACATTTGAGCAGACCAGTAATTTAATATTTATACCTTCCGTGTCTTGGGGTGGTGTATGAACACTTGGCAAGGTGTCCAGGGAATCCCTGGGAAGGAGTGACTACTTTCACTGTTTTTTTTTTAAGAGCACTACTGCGAAAGTTAGTGCTAAAATGAAAGTAAAAAAGCAAGGGTACCATGGGCACAATTAGAGAGGACAGCGTTAACCCCTCACGTCCAGCAGACTTTAACCTATTAGCAGATATAAATAGTGAGGGAACTCGTGTAGAAATCTTCAGTAGGAAACTGGATAAGCTTCTGCAGGAGTACCGGATCAGGCAGGTTGTGGTGGCTTTGTAGGTCTGAATGCTGTGGATGAATCAACAGCTTGGATGAGCATGGAGCCAGTCTGACTTCGGCCTTCGCGATGAGTCTTTCCGCTGACTGCGTGGTTCCTTCACTTCTCCATTACTTTACAGTTTTCGCCCTCTCTTTCCCCCTCCTCCGTGAGATGAACCTAGACAAGGCCTCCCAGTTGCTGACCTGATCGACCAAGGAGTTGATGCCAGTCGCATGTGGTCCAACATATGCACCACAGCCTTGCTGATCAGCAGTTCCTTGAGGAACTGATCAAGTTCC